ATCCAGTTTCTTCCTTTTCAGTTGTCATGCAAGTTAACTAGTATAGTCCAGGCACTAAAAGCAAGCTAGAAATAGCAGGTCTGAGACCTGCACAGTAAATTGATCCTGGGTTTTGACACTATAAGCCAGTCAGATCTGAACTGTGTTTCTGCAGCCAGGTGGCTTCCGCTACCTGAACTTGTTCAATTACAACTGGCTTTGGTATCTCCACAGACAACTGCAATACAACCACACCTTCTCGTCCCCATCCCTCATTTCAATCCAAATTGACAACACAAGTGAGAGTTGTCAATAACAATTTCTCCAAAATTCTGCTCAAGGTCAATTTAGCTTTTAACTATGGATCAGAAAATCTCATGAGCCATCAACGCACAAGGGTTAACCGATTTGGGCTTTCAACCCTGGCTTTTTCAGGGATCCTTTCTGTTACCAAGTTACTCAGAAAGGGAAGCCAGCATGTTTTCCTTCCAACCATCAGTTACAGCATACTAAACTTTGCCACTTAGTGACTTCAGCTGAACGCTGTAAAACACAGAACATAACGCAGGGGAAAGGAGTCATTTCTGATACTCAACCTATCTGAATGTTGCAGTGTGAGTCAAAATGTAATTTAGTCTCAGAGCTGGACTCCTGACATTCAGCCCAGGAGAGGAGCTGAAATGCTGTACGTAGTGCTTTGCCTGAATTTTAAAAGTAGGTTCATGACTCAAGTCTGATTGAAAAATACTGTTACTGACTACACAGAATTGATCTGGAGAAATGGGGGGAGAAGCTATGAACCTTCTATCCGCAAGGCTTCTCTTTTGTGAAGATCTAATCTTTGCATGCATGAAAACATTTAAGTGGGAAGCCCATTTACACATAAGCTCACACACCTAAAGGGGAAAAAAAAAAAAAAAAACAAAACTGTTTTTCACTGCTTTTTCAGTAACCTGAGCACTTGAATTTCATAGAATAGCCCACACTGGAAGGGACCTGGTCCAACCTTTCATGGCAAAGGGAGCCTAGATGAGATGATCAAGCACCCTGTCCAATCACATCTTGAGAACCTCCAGTGATTAGCCCTGCTTTGTACATGCACAGCTTTTTCAGTCATATTTAAAGGGAAGGCTACTAAGAGACTCAACCTTTCTGCTTTTATGGCAAAGATTTTAGGAATTCAGTTAGCAGATGGGAGTCCTGCATCATCTCGGGTATACTTACAGCAAGAAGAGAAGGACAAACATAAGAAAGGGATAACTAGGCAGAACTGCTCTGGAAATCCTTCGTAAGACACAACACCTACCTTGCTCTGCTAGCACCTATGCCTCAGAAACTCCTAGGGATCTATCACTTGATGTAACTACAGTATTGTATCTGTTTAATTGCAGATACTCTATGCATGCTCTAGCTGGACTGCCAATACATAGGAAGAAAATGCAGCTGCATTTATATTACCCACCTGTGCTTTGCGCATAACACATTTAAGCTATAATTTGATTATGTTTAATTTTTTTCAGCATGCCTTTAGCACATTCTTCTGCTGTTAGGTTTGATGCTGGCAGATAACTGGATTCCTTAAACTATATTCAGATTCCATATTTGTTGAAAAACTAGCATTTAACATACTCATCTAACAATCCATGTACTTAAAGCCAGAGTTTCCCATTTTTTCAGAAGAAAACCCTAATCTGAATTGCGGTTTGAGCTACTGAGTGGTATAAGGCTAAAGGATATAAAGACTTAAGATACAGTAGCTGTATTTTGATGTGTCAAGCTACTGCTTACATCTAGTAAACACTCCAGAGCTAATTTTTTAAGGGCATTGTACTCACAAGTGGAAACCTCCTCCAAGATCATTTGAAGACTGTTTGTCCACCTCAGTAGCCAAAAAAAAGAAACTCTGGGGAAAAGATTCAAAAAGAATGCTCAGTATCCATAGACACTTCCTAAACAGAGCAATTTTTCTTGGTGGGTAGGGGGCACATAATAGGGAAGAAAAATGTTTCTAGAAAGTTACTATAAAAAGATACAAATAGCACAGCCTTAATACCACCACAACACCCATTAGAAATGCAGTTAAGCATGACAACAAGAACGTATTTGTCCCCTATCAGCAGTTTCCATCACCTAAATATTTCACTCAATACACAGGAACCCATTCCCTCCATGGGAATGCTCACAGTGTCTCTGTTATCCACCTATTTTCATCAAACCTGTAGGAATATAGTAACACTGATATCTCTATTGTGATCTCAAATTGAGTTGAGATTTATTAACACTTTCTAGAGTTATTAAACAGAAAAAGCATAGTCACATGACCCTCTCATAAGGGATGCAATAAAGAACACAAGGTTATTATCTGCTTAATCCCTCTCAAGACACTCACAAAGTACTTTTAGAAGGTAAAAGTATGATACGTACCAGGACGTCTCATGCCTTTATGAAAATGAACTAGGGTAGCTACAGTAGTTATACCCAGCTATCACACCACATCACATGAACCACAGCTTTTGTTGCTTCTTCTTAATCTCTTCGATTGCTGGAATATGGAGAGAAGTTTGATCAAGTTCAGGTGCACTAGCTCAACCAGTAACTTGGTTCAGGTATCCCAGATTCAGACTAACCAAACGTACTGTTACACCGACAAACAAATGCTGTTACACCAACAGTTTAAACCACTGCAACATACATTGCAATATTGGGACAACTCAAGCCAATGTAAGGACAGGTGAATTTTACAAGGCCATGTGGATTAAAACAATTTGATGATAGGAAGGTCATAAACAACAGTACAACTTTATAGTTATTTAGGTCCAGTCCAAAGCCTGCAAACCATCACAGAAAACAAGCCCCATATGTAACACAGAAGAGGAAAAAATGCTAGCAACACTTACCCTTATGGTTTGACTACAACTACTCAAGAAAAATATCTCCTATCTTAATTATCATCACATTGGTTCACTGTTACCTAATTTGAGATATTTACAATACTCTTCCTCAGAACAACGGTTTTTAGGACATCACTGCAAAGAGACAAAATGTCACTTGGCCAAATAAATAAAAATCCCCTTAGCTTTTCAGAAAATAGTGCCAAACTCACTGCCACAGTTAGATATGAATAATCCCACTACAAAAGGAAAGTCCCTCCGCACAGTTTTATTGGAAGCAGGCTGTCTCTGGTTGGAGACCCCTGCCGCCCCATGCCATCCTCTTTGTACCCCTGAGGCCCACAAAGTGACGTACTAACAATTACCACCAACAGCAGGGGATTTCTGCCTTCAGCCTAAAAGGCCAACAGGAAGCTCCTATGCTTCAGCATGGCATAGGAAACTACTTTTGGAGAAGGTGGGTGCTTGGGAAAACAAAAGTGTTACGAAGAACAGCATAAGTTCTGCTGTGCCTGTTACTAAGTCACAGACTTATTTGCTCAAACCCATGCCAGGTCAAGCCAGATACCTGCTTACCTTGTTGAGGACACATTCCTTTAAAGTTCAGCTTCTATCTGAGGTACACCGTAAGTATTTCCTTTGCCATTCTTGCCCTTGCTCATCAGCGTTACCATTGTTTGTTGCTAGTTCCTTCTGTGCATCATAACTGAAACAGGGCAATAAAGCTCTCCACAGCCATGGCCACGCAACGGGCTCCTATGCTCAAGGGAATAAAGTATCATATTCCAGTTAAAAATAAAAAGGCAATGTTCATTCAAACAAGCAAGCTCCATAAAACCTTCTTAATGCTAAAGCTTCAAGAAAAGATAAAGAACATCGCATACTAGACTAAATTAGTACACAAAATAATCAAAGAATAAGCTACATACACAAAAACTATCAAAACAAAACCAGACCTTCTAGATTACTTGAAAGAAGCTTCAAGAATTAACACTACAATAATTCTACAGGCCTTTACTACTGAATTGAACAAAGCAAGCTTGAGTAACCACCTCAACTGCACAGGACACACTTTCTCTCTCTCAGCCTTATTATCCCAAAGGGCATCTTAACGAGACACAGGTTTTATCACTTTCCCTGCCTGCTTTGGCAAATCCAGAACAGCTGAGACAGTAGGCTTGGTTTCTACTTAAAGCCCTTCTCACTTCTTCATCTCCTAAGATACAGCTAGCAAGAGTCTGGCTTATCTTGCTGAGGCTCTGGTTATTTTCATCATAGTAATAGTACTACTCTGTGCCCAAAAAAAGGTAACTAACAATAGTATCTGAAATAACAAAATGTTACAAACTTTTATTAAGACTTAGGACAGCTAATAAAGTATACAACTTTAATTCTGAGGTAATAAATCACAAAACAAATTCTAATAAAAAATTACATGTGTCTTACTAAGCACCTCTAAATGCTGTATTTAGATGATATGTACTCTTCTTCCATTTTACTGATATTTTTCATGTATTGCATCTTAGTTTATATAATGCACTGTTCTTATATTAGAGAAATCCATGTTAAAAATTATTTACTATTTGTATGTATTAACAGAATAGTTCAGTTGAAAGTGACCTATGCTATAGCACTTAAAAGATGTGGCTATGTTGAAACTCATTTGTGGAAATATTCTGAGACTTTTAAAAATCTCTAGTCTTTAAAATGTGAGTATTCCCTTTTTTTGGAGTAAGCACTTGATACAAGAACTTGCTCTTACTTCAACGCTACAAGGAAACAATTGTTTTTCTTCAAGTAAACATTATAGACTCAGTATTTAATAAGTTCGTGTATCTTATTCATTCTAGGCATCTGTGATTTCATGATGAATCTGTGTGGAGCTTGCCTGACTCATCTAGTGCAACCCGTACGGTAAGGTGAACAGGAGGTAAATTTCTCTCTCTTATTAAATATATGTAATGAGTAACCTGTAGATTCTTAGGCCATTAAGCTCTCCGTCCGCGACCCTTTCCCACCCCGGTGTAAACGCCTTGCCCTGCAACGGACCTGTGACGGCGGGCGCCCCCCCCCCGCCCCCCCCACCGGGGGGCCGCCGGGGGGGGGGGGGGCCCTGCTGCTGTCCCTGCCATGGCGCTTGGTCCGGGTGGGGTTTGTTGGGGGCAAGCAGCCCTCGTCTCCACGGCGCTCATTCCGCCAGCACCTGCTGCAGCCAG